TAACTCTAATGCATTAAGTAAGCACTTTCCAAAGGACACAGCAAACTAAGAGAAAGACGCGTCTCACGTATCTAAAATTAACAAAACTGGAGTGTAGTCAAATAACTATTGTCAAAGATCGTAATTGTGGAAATTAATATGCTAGCATTATTCTTTGTTGTCTTAAAGCCCAATAGTAATAGTGTGTCTTTATTACTCATTACATTAATTAATTCAAGGCATTATCTTGTTCTTATCTATTTATTGATTATATTATCACTAAATCAAGCTCACGTCAAGCATAGACATAAATACCAAATTTTTTTATCTTTCCCATAAGACAATTCCTGATACATAATTACCCTTCGAGTTCGATTTGGACAGGAGCCATGTGTTCCCACGTGATGAGATGTATTAGAAGTGAGTCTATTATATTTTAATATTATAAATACTCCATGCACACAATAAGCTTATGGAAATCATGATTCTATGCCACTTTTTTAAGTTTCACCAAAAAGACATATAACTATTTCATAATTAATTTTCCTCTCTTCTTTTTTCATATGGCTCAGCATAGCTACCTATCATTACGTGTGAAATGAGTACATCCCTAAATCAATCATCTATACTCGTTTTTTTTTATGACTAGTGTGAAAGTCAGTGATTCATTGACACTCAATGCCATTCAATACATCATCTGTTATGTTGTACCTACTACTCAAGAAAATAGTAGAAAAAAAAATAGTCTAATGGTACTTCCAAGGCTTTTCTTACACCACTGTTTATATAGACATTTTCGTTCTGTCCATTTCATTCATGGCATGCAAGTATGATTTCAGATATTTTTACAGAAAATATTATTTTTATATCAATAGAAAATGTTGTTTACGCCCAAGATCAAATGAACTTTCGTTGTCTTCCACTATTTTCAGACAGGTATTCTCAGATCAGTGGTGCATTTATCCCCCTAAGAATATAGGTGTCTCTGAAATATAGTGATTTTTGAAATCCTTTGATAGCCTTTTAACTATATCCACAAGATATGCCAAAAGAATTTTCCCTCAATCTGATATAAGGTAGCAGAAGAAAACTTGTATCTCTGACTCGGCTCCATACTTTCTCTCTGTCTCGCTATAGGTTGTCCTGTCTCGAGAGAGACCATCTCGATTGACAGTTGTTGTGATTGTTGAACCTATATACAAGTAATTTCGAAACAACTCATTGGAGAATTGAAGTCTGCGTGTCTGGTGTGAAATGTATTTAAGGTATGAGGATGTTTCAAAAAATCAATCAGAACCATCATTTGACTTAAGGAAACCTTCTAATTGATTATCAGATTATGACATTCCAAAATATGTGCAATAACGAAAATGAGCTAGAACAATGTGTAAAAAAGTTGTAGAAGGTAAAATTGATTTGCGATCTATGTTGTGTAGGAGAATATAATGTGATCGCATGAGAATGTATGATATTTGGACTGGAATAGGTGACATCATACTCCTGATCGCAGCATTAGCACCCTTGATGTATTGATATATATAACGTGAATGGACTTGATATCTTTGGTCTTGGGTGGATGTCTCAACTCTACAGGGTAATATAATTTGAAGCTGAGTTCATGACCATATAATTGTGCAACTGAAACGAAGACGAGGTATAAATCTTTATAGCCCAGATAAATGTATAGTTGTTTGTCCGGAAGAAATCTTGAAAACTAAAAAGATGTGTCTGGACAATTTTCTCCACTTTTCTGTGAGTTGCAGATTAGACTTCAGACGGTAATTTTCTATTAATGGACTAGAGTATAATACTCTGAAATACCTCATTACATACTGCTTTTGAAATTTGCTTTAATTGCTATGACTTGGGGTATATTGAAATGAATGTATATTACTTATATTTTTGAATTATACTGTTAAAATAAAAACCACCTATAATCAATCTAATTGTATTAAATTAATATCTAGTTAATTATTTACTATGGCTCTTCTTAATATCGGACAGCTGTGCTTATACTCTATTCAATAATTTTTGCACTCTTCCAGCTAGTCTTAATTTTTTTTGTCCTCGGATTGAGTTATAGACTGCGACTAAATGTCGTTGTACTTCCTTGCCTTAGTTGCTGTCCTGCTATGAGAAAAGTGTAGCTATCCTCTATGCATAATAATATTTATAATAAAAAGTCCCGATTATCAGAAACTATCTTTTTTCATATCTCAGAGCACCTCTATGGTGATCGCGATATAAAAAGTAGCGTAAGGCTCTACCTAGCGACATTTTTTTCCACTCACCTTGGTTGTATGTTTTTCTAACATTTTTTAGTGATTATATTTGTTATTTTTGAGAATTCTACTTAAGTTCGCACTTCATATCCTGGACCCTCTGTGACTACATAAGGTTGTTTAGTTAAACTTCCATTTCCTTACATTAAAACTGAAAGTGTTTGCAGCTTTCAGTCAAAATGTTTTTTTCATTTGAAAAAGTGAGCTACTTGGTGTGCATTGATTTAGGAACATTAGAATGTTCTTTCTTTTTTAAGGATAAACTATATTCATTTTGGTGACGATATTATGATTTTAGGCTGTTCTTTAATAACACGTGTCTCCTCATGACTTGTACGTTCACTTTAAGCGTCCTTACATCATTAACTATTTAACAAGTGTTTGGCTGCTGATGCTTTGGCGTATGAAAACACAGTGACACTTAGATATGTCATAGCAGGAAAATACATAGTTGATGTCTTCTACGGCAATATCTGTTGACCGGTATGGGCTACTTGAAAATCATCGGAAACTAGACAACTGAGGTGTGGTTCCCTCAGTTTTCTCAAAAAGAATTCAGAAAAAATTGATTACGTGGGAGAATTTCATGAGCATTGAAAGTGAGTTAAAAATTTTAGACTGAAGCTTTCATGACGACAAAACTGAAAGTTATGACTTGATGACAAAATTTAAAAGTTATCTAATAATTCTTCTCTCTCGCTCGCTTTGGTTGTTTTTTACGTGTTGTATACCCATTATCATAATCTATGGAAAGCAAAAGAACAACTGATAGTAAACAATCGAATTTAATCTAAGCCGACTGCTTCCCAATACCTGTGCTCAAAATTTCTTCTATTTTACTCAACAAAAATACTTATAGTGTTTTAAATATTAAATTGGAATTGAAATAACTTTTGGATAATTCGATAGATATATGACTCACATGGTCTAAAGTGCCACGAAATGTGCCCTTGTCAAAATATTTTAATTTACCGTCAATGATTTTAGTTATCACTCAGATCGTGCTATCTCATCTGACCACCTTTGTTCATAGGATATGTTAACCTCTAGGGTAAGTCAAATGACTGTCTAACCAACGAAGTTATGTAAAGTAAGCTATTTGCATGATCAAACTCTTGCAGAACTGTATACTAACGGAACACAGTCTCTCTCGAGCTTATGCTAAATCACGAGTTTAGAAACAACACCTGGCTGTTGGTCTTATATTTAACTCTGTACAGAAACACAAAAGAATTACCCATGACTCACGCGATCTATTGTACTACAACAAGTAGAAACTTGATGTTGACGACCCTGTGACGTAGGACTAACTTATCTGCAGGTAATAATTTAACTGGTGACTTCTCGTTACAGAGTAGGAACATGTGGTTCAAATGCTCTCACGGAGTAAAACACATAAGTACTTTTATTACACTCATGAGTGAAATTTTACTCAATTCTGTGAAGGAATAATTAGAGCATCGTCGTCATATGGATTAATATGAAATGCGACATATGATCATGCCTGTGTTACAGAAGGTGAGGTTCAGTAACTTCACTTGAATGACTCCTACTGAGCAACTTGAAGTTGATATTGAATCCCTTCCTTGTTGAACTAGAAAGCTGAAGGCGGAATACTACGCTTCATTGCAACTATTTATACACCTAACAAATTACTTTTGTACTTCATGCTACGGGATCTTTTTTGGAGTACTAGTTTTATTTCGAGTTGCACCTTTTCTAAAAAATGGTCCTATCTGTCTTCCTTTTAACGTAGCTCTTAAATCAAAGAAACAATGAATAATAGGAAATGCCGGTCCAACTTATCGCCCCACTCAATGCCAAGCCCCCATCTAGTTCTTATACCAAAATGTCGAAACATATCGTCTTATTGCAATACGGAATGTTTGTAAGCTGCAAACTCTCCCTTTCGTTTGCGATCCTTCGTGGTGACTCCTTCGTTCCTGTTCTTAGCTCAATAAAAAACAAAGAAGAAGTAAAACAAGTCGTTGGAGATGATTGTACAACTTCAGAACAAAAGGGAAAATTCTGTTCATGCCCAAGAAATGAACAACTGTTTCTCATGTCGATACTTGTGTCTATTGTCATTGTAAATGGTGACCTTTCGTGCATTTGCATCCCGTGCGCCTCTCTTGATCTCCATTTTCGTGGTTCTCCTAGCTCGAAAAAGTCAAGCAAAATGAGTTTCAATATGGCGGAATAAAGAAATTTAGTAAGCCACTCAGAAGAAAAAATAACAGGTGAATTCGAGTACAAAGATGAAACTGCTCAATATTTAGATACGGGCAACATTGCCCTATTTGCCAAAGGAATTTGATTATAGGCTACCCATAGGTCCTCTCTCTTTTCTGATAGCTCTAAACGAAAGAAACAGAAATATAAAAAGAGGATATGGAGGACACATCATCGAGGAAAAATGATCAAACTCAAAAAACACGTGATGTGTGACTACACGTATTGATTTGTACTACAGTTATATAGTACCTTATGCGAGGTGAACAATTTCTGTTGTGTGCGACCCCTGGCACTCCTGTTCTTGGTGTGCGTATATGCTAAACATACAAACAAAAGAAAGATATAAGACACGTAAATTCCTAATGGATTCACTCTAGGTGCAATGATACCAGGAAGTATTTCATGCACAATCAGATAGGTATGAAACGCTCTCTCTGGTGATACGAGAAGCATTGTAGTTGTGGATTGGATAAGCAAATTCCAGGTTTCCGTTTCCTAGACAAGATTTGACAAAGAAAGCTCAATCTTTAGTGTTAAGTTTAAAGTATTTTGAAAAAGTTGACATGAAAATACCTTGATGAAGCATAAGTGAGCTGGTCCACAGTCCACCAAGGAACAAAGGATAAAACTCAACAGAATTTTGGCTGTAAACAAAAATAGAAATATGTGTTAATTTTTCAAAATGGTACAAAGCTAGAGGTGGAGTTGACAAGAATTTCAACAAACTGAGTTCTTGTTTGGTAACAATATCGAAGTAAATAACAAAGCTAGATTAAATATATATAGAGAAAGTTAAGTCATAATGTCCAGTTCACTTTTCGCCCTCTGTGAGCTCTAAGCATGATATCACAATGGATCATAATCATTTCTGTGTGGCTTAGGCCAAATCAAATCACTGCAGCAGACAGTTTGTTATGGCAGCAGCTTTCTAACTCTGGTCCAAAACATGTTGAAATAAACACATAATTTCCTGGTTGCTCTAGGTTGAACCATTACTTGTCATAAACTTTGCTATCGCCTAATACAACACTCGCTTATCTCCATTCCATCGCTTGTCACATCAGCAACACCTTCTGACGTCACTGGAGGCATGCTTTGTTTTGCCTCTATTCTGTGTTTGGCACTTTCCGAACCTTTTAACAGCATATTCACATTCTATCTTCAGAAATAATTTAATTCATCGAAATCAGCGGAAAAATTTCAAGTTTCAAACAAAAGTTTCGGTTTCAAACAAAAAAAGATTTTTTAACCTTAGAGGCACTTGAATGTCCTAATTCCAGATTATTTAACAGGAAAATAGCTGGATTATCCACCAATTCTAGATGAAAAGTGCACAAACAATATTCCTGAGACTTACTGAGCTCTGTAGATTCGAACAAAGTTGTCATCCCCATCAATTGCTGGTGGTTGTATCTGTTGTGGAAAGTTGTGAAATTTAAAAAAAGAGCTTTTGAGAATTCTTTTAGAGCACAGCTGGGTAGCAATTTAAAATTTACCGCCAAGTTGCATCAAAATATAGAAGATCACAAGATGGCTTTGAAAAAAACAAACATTTTAGGAATAAAAAAATTTAAAAAAATCTACACAACTACTCCTTTACCAAAACAGTGAGCTCTAACATTTGAGAGAATGATTTTATGGAGGCTTAAGGAGAAACTAAAAACTGCTTATAACGCAAAACATACCTTGTACTTTGACCTTGCCAATCCAACACGTTTTGCAAAAGCAGCTTGTGTCAAAAGAAAAAATATTGAGTTTCAAAAGGCAACAAACTTTGGAAAAAAAATTCTTGAAATGAAGATGTTAGGGGGGTTGTATATTTCTAAATCTGCTACACAAAAATAATCTAAGATTATGGCTAATCAAATAACAAAAACCTGCAAAAAGTGTCACAAAAGACAACTCTGGGGCAAATACCAACTAGAAATGTCTGATTTGAACAATAAATAGATTTTAAAAATGTTAACTGAATAATGTCCATAAAATGCATAGGTTGTCAGCCGAGTAAGAGCTTATCTTGATAAAGGCTGTTTTGATATCAGATGTGACTGATTAAAGTGAAGACCCTTGCCGCATTATAGTATCATAGTCTTCAAGCATGACAACATTAGAATTAGTAATCAAAGGAAGCTCATTTCTATATAAAAGGAACAAGACTTGTACTAGGATGGCCCCCTGTGGGACACTGGTTATAATGGTAGGTTGATTTTGCAGAACACCATTGAATCCAACAACCTGATTTTTGAGGGAAACATGAGGAAAATGTTAGGAGTTGGGTTCAGTCACTTAAATTTAGCTAGAAGGATGTGATGGTTAACAGTGCCAAATGCTTTCTGTAGAAGGTAGATTGCTCCAGTGAGTAGATGATTGTCCATCCTTTTATAAATTTACATTAAACAAAGATACATTAAACAAAAAATTCCTGGTCTACTTCTTGTCTTTTGGCAAGAAGATGCAACCTGAAGGCTAGTCAGTTATACAATATATAACTGGTGTGTAGTGTATCAGGCATGAGAGAATTGTGACTGGAACAGTGAACTCAGTGGCGTAGCATCAAGGTATGCTAGTAATGCACCGCATATGCTCTGAAAAAATTGGTGGATCCTGGCTAGCAATCTTTGTTTGCAGCACATCTCGTTTCCAGAAATGTGGAACTTTGACCACATTCCCTGATTTAAAACATTTGTTTTTCCCCTTTTTTGATGCAAACTTTCCTTAAAAAATAAATTGGGTGGTTGTATCAACCAATAATCTATCATGTAATGGAAGATTGCTCCCTCCCATTTTTGACTGTGAGTGTTGAGGATGGAGCTTTGAAAGGAAAGCAACATTTTCAGTTGTTCATTAAGGCAAGTCACATGGCCAGTTGCTGAGAAAAAAAGAGCCAGGGCATGCGGTTTGGCGAACGCATGCCCTAGATGTATGTGGGTGTATCTAGGCACAATTTGTTGAGATTTGGTTCAGAACAAGTGCATTGTGTATATTTTAGAGAAGCAAATGAAAAATTATAATATGAACACGACAGGCCAGGCTGTGAGCATTTTAGCAGGCGAGTGGTACATCCAGGCCTTTTCATTTCACGCAGGCGATCGCCAAATTATTGACGCAGGCTATTGACCACCCTTGCAAAGACACGTATCACCTACAAGAGAAAGGTAGAGAACTTGTGGAAAAGTAAACAAGAAATATCACTGTTGTTGTTGTCACTATCATTCAATTCACGTATTCTCGCAGCATCGTCAAGAATATCTCTTGAGACCTTTTAGCTCAGCGCTTTTTAGAACACAAGTGTTTTTGAAGTGAGGTAGAAATTCACTGCTCTGGTCATTTTTAGCCAAAATTCTACGCCTTAAGATTATTGATAGGGCCTTTATTCAAAGATGTTTTTACAAGACAAAAAGTGAAGATTTCAACAAATCCTTAAAACCTTATAAAAATTCCGTATTCCATGCAACATAACCGAAACAATGCACCTCCAGCAAATGTGTAGAATTCCATGGTTGCGTCCAGAAATTTCCAGGTTTCTGTAATCAGCAAAAAATTTTAATCAAAGTCCATTTTTCCATAAACCTTGATCACCCCCACATCGAACAACGGTTACTCATTAGTGGGAAGAACAAATAATTATAATAAGCGACAATGATAACTGAACAGTAATGAAAAGAAATGCTATAATAAAAAGAGCTGTTTATATTCATTTGGAGAAAAAAAGTAAGACTGTTGAAGAGGAGCCTCTGAGTGAGATATTTTGTCTTGAAGCTCTAAAAGAATCTGAAAACATAGATAATAATGCAATCAGGGAGGATGAGGGAGAGAATTTTTAAACGGAGTCGGAATCTGATTACATAAAAATAAAGGAGCCTCAAAGTTAGAGACAAGTAAGAATCTGAAAACATAGATAATAATGCAATCAGGGAGGATGAGAGAGAATTTTTAAACCGAGTCGGAATCTGATTACATAAAAATAAAGGAGCCTCAAAGTAAAAGGCAAGTAAGAATCTAAAAACATAGATAATAATGCAATCAGGGAGAATTGTTCAACCGAGTTGGGGCCTATGTGATTCATACTCTAAAGAAGAATTTTAAAAAGTGGAACTTCTAGATGGTGGTTTTGATTGTTTTAAAGTTTTATTTTATGTTTTTACTTAGCTGGTCAAACTTGACATATTTTCTTTACGCCTTGCTCTAAAAGTTCATCATCATCATTACATCAAGTATTTTGGCTACAAACTGGCCGTAATTGCACATTTAGAAAATCAAAGGTTAGGTAGTTGTGGTTAGATTTGTTGGGGATTGCGGGCAATTTGTTGCCCTAGCGAACATTTCTTCACGAAAAGGCCTGGGTACATCGCTCTCCTTGGTTAAGTCAGGTGGGTGATTTTTAGTCACTTGAAAATCGTCAATAAAAGTATATGAATAAACAACAGTCTTTAACAGCTAAGTTTATAAAACAAGATAGGGTCACTCCATGTCAATTCAAATGGGCTATGACACCATACCTCTTAGATTTGGCTCAAAATCTAACAAAACACTATTCCTGGCAAGGTTATTCCAGTCTCCAAATTTGATGCTTATAAGTTATACGGTTTTAGAGCTATAAGTGTTTCAATTTTGCTAAAAATACCCCAAAAAACCCTTAAATCCGCCATTTTGAATTTGCGGTCATGAAAAATTTAGAAATATTTTTACCAAAGCGTAAGTTTCTTTGTACCTACAGATTTGAAAATTTGGATTCTGGTATTTTAAGGTATGAGGATTTCAAAAAATCAATCAGAACCATCATTTGACTTAAGGAATACCTTCTAATTGATATCAGATTATGACATTCCAAAAATATGTGAATAACGAAAATGCAAAAAGTTAAAAAGCTTGAGTAAATTTTTCTCTATTTCTGATTAGTGTTACCAAAATGAGTTTTGGCATGGTGAATCATCATGCCTTACACTGTATAAAAACGTAAGGATGATGTTGGTGTCTCATCTCAGTATAGAGCTAGCTACCTTGGAAAAAGAGGGAAAATTTTTGAAAATTTATGTTTGGGAACACTAAAAAGGGCAAGATTCCATTTCTTGTTGTGCAGGAATTTATATAAAATAGATATAAACTCTGAAAATCCTTGCTCAAACGCTTGAAAATTCATGCTTGCTTGGGATAAAAATTGTTATTACTATGTTATAATAATTATAAAATAATATAATAATTGTTATTATTATTAGTATATTACTATGGCTTTAAATACAAGCTATGTGCATTAATTTCACTTTCGATCTTTATTTTGTCCTCGTTGTTTAGAACGTACTGTCTTCCTGTTGCTGTGCTTGGAGTGCTTATTATGCATATAATATTTACAAAAGGCACGAAACAAATATCTTCTCTTCTCCAACAATGAGAAGTGCGTGGCTTTAGCGCGGTGATTTTTATATATTATGTTTTAATCACTTTCTTCATGGACCCTGACTACTTTTAGTTAAACTTCCATTTCCTACAAAACTGATGTCGCTAGCCAATGTTTCATGGTATCTCTTTTAAGTTACACATTTGACTGTTTTCTAGCCTAAACACTTCTCTATACTGATACTACTTCCTAACTTTCAAGGTTTGTGCTGCATTGCATGGTTAAAAAAGTGACATATGTCATAAAGAAATCAATTTATTCAGAATATTGTAACGAGGCAACAGGAGCCAGTAAAAAAAGAAGCAGAAAAATTGATTCGGAGATTGAGATGAATGGAAAAGAACTGAAGCATCAACGACAACAGGAGGATGACAATAAAAGAAATTCTCTCCGCTCGCGGAACCATTTTCTATGTGCCAAGAAACGGAAACAATGAAAGCCGTGCAATTTTTCTTCAACAAATCTAATGTTAAATAAAGGAATGGTATTCGAAATAATCACAGTAAGAGATCCTTAAATTTAATACCAAGGTATATTTCCATTAAGCTACAATCTGCCCTTATGGAATGTAACTGAACAACGAAGTATGAAAGTAAGCAATCGATGACATTGATGTACTGAAGTATTTCGAGCTTAGCTTCCAATTGAAAAACTGGCTGTTGTTTATTATTTCAAGAGGTAGCCATGACTCAGGGCGTTATTTCAGCATGACTG